GTTTAATGCAGAATTCAGATTTTTATTTCATGTTCGAGTCCAAGCAAACTATGACACACATGGAAAATATTGCAAGCATGGAAACATTCAAAGAATTACATGAAATTGTGTAAAACACCCATTTGAATTAGTTTGATTGGTTTTTAGAATTGTTCATGATTTTTTTTTTTTTTTTTTTTTTTTTTTTGAATGTGTGTAAACTTTAACATATAAACTTTAAATGTTGTACGTAACTTTGGGAAAAACATTATCAACAAAGAAAAAATTGACAAACTTAGATTTGCATTATCATTCAACAAAAGCAGGGAAGATGAGACTATACCTATGGATTTATACATTTAGAATGCATTTTATTAAAAACATTGAAATTGTACATTCCAAAGTGAAACATCACACTAATCAATCTTTTAATGAATACCTAGATGACAATTTAATTATACCAAATGGAAGGATGAATATGCAAAATTCCTTTGCATTTGGCACACAGATTTTCCTTCAAATCACACAAGACAGATAATAACTTTCTGAAATAAATTGAAAAGAAGTATGTGTGTGTATGTGAGTATACACACACTTGTTTGAAAGACATGGATTGATAAAGAAAATATACGATATATATATATATATATATATATATATATATATTTATGGGGGCTTTAATGTAATTAAATAGAATCTCCCAAAGCTGAAGATTATCGAATCTACTTGTTACATTTATGGGTCATGTTTAAATTAGATTATTATGCTTTCCATTATTTATGTATTTATGTATTTATTCACATAAACCTATTCAAAGATGAGAGTTCAAAGTATATGACAACTGTATTGAATTGAATCCCCTGGTTTATACCTAATATTGTGTTGTTTCGAGTATAAAAATAATATACAATGCATAGATTTAGTTAATACATAGTATGTATGTGACTAAAAACAATAAAATCTAAGAGAAAGATCTTTTTCAATGAAACATGATAGAATCAATCTTGATTTTTATTTCACATATGAATACGTGCTTATTGTTTTTTTTTTTTTTTTTTTTTTTTGTTTCTGTTTAGCACAAAATTAAATTAAAATGTATGTGTAACATTCAACAACTGAATAAATGTGTAATTAGTAAAGTATAAAATCAATAATAATGTCCTATGTTACAAATGTATGCATTTGTTTGATTATGACATAATCAAACAAATAAAAATCATATGTCTTCTTTTTATTAAAAAGCACTCATTCATATGTCTTTTATTTTGGTGTTTTGGACCATTCAACATGGATGACAACATATTATTAAACATTCATGCAAGACAATCTTCAAAAACTGCACCAGATGATGATTCATAGAACCATATATTTCTACATCTCAATTGGAGTGACTCTCTTAAGCCCAACTGTTGAGGTGATTTAGTTTTCAAAAAAGATTAAAGTAAATTCTGTGTACATAATTTATTTATTTTAATTATATATATTTTTCTTCTAAATGAAAAAAATGTATATTTGTAAAAAGCTTTACACAAGCCTGTGCGCGCCCGAGATTATGATTATATTAAAAAATTAATAAAGCATCATGAGTTCGCGTGAAGTGGACGAGCAGAGTGTGAACGCGTGCAAGAAATTCCGTTCCCTACGGATCTCGTTCACACGAACACAAGTGGGAACGTGATAAGCCCCCGCGTGTGAAAAGCGGAGCACAGGGCACGAGAAGGGTACCCCGTTCTCGGAGCCGTTCCCGAAGTGGCTTGAATTACACGGAGCTAATTCTGCTGGTCAAAAGAATCGCGGGAACGGGTGAGCCATTACCCACTCTGATTGGGATGGGTTTTGTTTTAGTAGGCAGCACGCCTTCAGTCAATGCGGCGCCGAATGCTGACGTGGGCCGTGGATGGTGATGTGGCACAGTAGCCTTGGAGTACACCCGTTGTACCGTGGCCCCTAAACATGGTTTTGTGGGCCAAATTGTGTGGGATGCAAAAAGAGTTATTACGGGAGTAGTGTGTGTGTGTGTGCGAGTGTGTGTATATATATATATATATATATGTTTTAAATATATATATATATATTATTTTAAAGTAATATGAACGATCATTTTTTTTTTCATTCTTTTTTAATCTGTTTTTAACATGTTTGTTTCATCCTTTTTCATTAGATTGAGACTTGGGCAACCTTTCAACAATTATAATTATTATTTTTTTCCCCGCACAGTTTCTTGTGTTGACTATGGAGTGCTTTTTTTTTATGGTGACCAATGAAGATATTCCATTCAAATCATTTTTATTTCTCGTGTTGCCTTGGTGCTCATAACACTTGTGGCTTGTTATTGATGTTTTTTTTGAAATCCTTTATTCATGTTTAATAATGTATGTAATAATTTTTGATGTGGCCTCAGAATGAGCCCCAAGCCCCCACCAAACACATGAGACCCCTTTTGTTGGAAGGATGCACATACTTTTTATCAAATGACTAACATTCAATTGTTTTGATAGACTGGGAAAAGTGTGGTTTGTTTCTTTCTTCCACATGATGCAATGAAATTCACTGTTGGGAATAAACAAACACATAAAAATTAAACACATACACAACCCATGTAATGGAGAACTTGAAAGAAAGTGCAACAGAAGATGCTGGGTTTCACGTTACAACTCAGCTATCTCTTTAAGAACCACATGGGTCATGATCATTTACCACACTGTTACTAAGCATGCACACTTTTGACACTAAATTTCATTAGAGCTGCAAATACACTGCAGACATACAGACAACCCCTTAATGGCTTCACCTAATATTGGACTTAATCCACTCCGGAGACAAAAGTCTTAGGTCCAAACCTTTAATTTGCAAAGTTTCTACAAATTTGTCACCAACTACAAGTGTGGTAATGAATGTGGGCTCACAATCTTTTTCTCATCTAAAACTGAGCAGACAAACATGTGTAATAATAGATAGTGTAAGAATACCGAAGATTATGGGGTGAGGGAGCCCCAGTGGACGATAATCGTGGGGGACCGGATGAACGACTTAATACATTCATGGATAATTGAGCAGAAGCAGACGAAGAAGAGGAAGAGGAAGGAGCGGAAGCCGAAGAAGAAGAAAAAGAAGCAATTTTGATGCATAGAATATGTGCTCCGCGTTGAAGGCTGGTCTTGTTTGTTTCGTACCATCATCCATCGCGGTGAAGCTTCCGCCACGATGGTGTGAACAGTTGAAGGAGCATGGCAGAGCGGAATTGCGGTGGAGGGGAGCCAGGAGGCCATGTGCTCAAGGCTGCTAAAGATTCGGATGCGATTCCCGGGCAGCGCCGGGGATTCGTCGACTCAACCATGACGGTGATTGATGTACGCAAGCCATGCTTTTTCAAGCTGCCCGGAGGCAAACAGTGTGGGATGGGATTACCTACCCGCACGCGATGGGGACGGTCGTTCAGTGATCACTTGTAATTAGGCGGAGGTGGAGGAGGAGGACGACGACGATGATGACGACGAGCGGCGCGCGCGGAAGGGGCCACTGTCCACCCGAGCCAGGGCCGGAGAAGGAGGCTCTTGACGAGGTCGGGAGTATAAGGACCCCAAAGAGCGCCAATAATGCACTGCAACACATTTTCTGAGCTACCGATCTCGTTTTCTAGCGCTCTCGTCCGTCCTCGCACTGTCACACACTCACTCACTCACTCACACACACTCACCTTAGGCACGGGGCATCATAGGAGGTGGAACTCGTACGCAAGCTCGGATCACGCTCTCGCAACTGGGTTGTCTCCCGCTGGTCCCGTTTCTCGCGCAGGTTTCGCTCGTACCCTCTCGGGTGCTGGTGAGGCTGGTGGAGGTTTGGGGCTGTCGATTGTCGGTTGTGGGAGATCCGGGGGTTGGCGTTTTCCACTGATCACTGGCACACTCACTTGCAGGCTAGGCACTGAGGGTTCGCCGTTGCTCGCAGGGCAGTTTAGCCACTTTAGCAGGCAAAGGGGTGTAGGCTATGCACTTGATCACGGCGCACGTAGTGTTGCATCTCTTCTTCCCCTCCAGTAGTCACAGTTCACGGGCTCTTAAAGGCTAGACATCACTGATTTCACTCATCGGCGGCTTGCAGTGGTTCATCATACAGTGTCTATATAGTGTCCGCAGCCCCATGTAGTTTAGCTATGTTAATGTATGTCGTAGGCACGTAAGATTATAGGTTCTTGAACGAGAACATAAAATAAAAAAATAGAAGATAAAAAACCAAAAACATTGTGTACAGACACTGATGTTCACTGCATCGGTTTTGTGGTATACGAGCCGACGTCTTTCACCTTCCCGCCTTGCTAGCCAGTAGAGCCGTATCGGAAGGAGCTGCTGATGGCCTCGCTATTGTGCGTCAAATTCTGAGGTCATTCGCATGTTCTGGGCGGGGCTTGTGTCCAGGGGAGGTTGGTTTCCACTTTTTGATTAGGCATTTTACTATGTTCTGACGTCCGGAAGCGTCGTCGTTAGTGTTAGAGGTGGGTACATACCACCAGTATAACATTAGTTTGGTTGGTTTTCAGGTCTTTTGCTCGTCGTACATCTCCTTCCTGTACAGAAGAGGTTACCTCTTCAAATCTTCTTGTCGAACATCTCAGTTTTCTTGTGTTTTTGTTTTTGTGGTAGTTCACGCGATAGTCATATTGTCCGCACTATCACCTCATCGGTGATCACGAGTCAGGGTCAGTTTTTGAGTCACCTTGCACTCTGGTGCAGGTTCTGTCCATCCTGGTCAGTTCTTCCTGTTGGTCATACACACATTTGTTATATCCTAGTTGGTCGACTGTGACCCGTTTGCTCTACTGGGCAGTTCTTTCTATCTTCCGCAGAAAACATCAAGAACGTAAAAACACATAGGATATTATCTGTACTACCAGGACCCGCACTCTTTTCTTCCCTTTGAGTTTCGCATTCGGCCATGGGCAATCCTCAGCAGTGTTGTAAACCTTTCAACATTTAGGAGGTGTTTAAAGCGATACTGAAGTGTTTCTTAACACTGGATTATCCCTGTTTATATATCAAATTTGTTTTGGGTTCGACGTCGAGTTACTAGCTTGAGGTCTCGTATCGGAGGACATTTGTCGGAGCCCGGGAGAGATAACATTTTGAGAAGGGTATCTGAGGCGAGTTTCCAATGGCAGCAGTTGCGCACTATGATATGAGCGATATGTTGCTTGGACAAGAAGTTTCATACAGCGGGTCCTATTATGGCGGTAATGGTGTTCACGATGGAGGTGGGGTGTCCACTTTCAATCCCGATATCTCTATTCTGGAAGGTTGTAGACAATCTGCTATTCTTCCAAGTAATAGTAGTTCAAATTTTTGTGCTCCTAGTCAGTGTTTTAATCGCGGAGAATTGTCTCCTCACGAAGGGAAGTTATCAGTTACTTCGCTGGGCATGCCATTCACACCGGGAAGCGCTGCTCTGCTGAAAGACCAAATCCCAATTTGGTCTGAATATAAAAGTTCAATTCTAGTATCACCGCAGTTTCCTCCCACCTACGGTTCGGAGCGCGTAGGAATGTACCAGCAACCGGGTGTACAGGATTTGTCGAATGGTGTCGCTCTTGCGGGCGACGCGAGTCATCTACAACAGCTGCATCAGTTATCCGGCAACTATCCACAAGTCTCGCAGCTACCACCTCAGCAGCTTTACCAGGTGCAGGGCTTCTCGCCTCCGTTACCAGAGATCGATCTTCAAAATCTTCCGAGAACATGGAGCCCACTCGCCGATCTCGGTCCTCGGGCTCATGTGATGAAGAAAACGGCTGAGAAACGGATTGGAGTACCTCGGACGAAGCTGTATCGAGGCGTTCGTCAGCGGCACTGGGGAAAATGGGTCGCAGAGATCCGCCTGCCTCGAAATAGGACCCGTCTTTGGTTAGGGACGTTCGATACCGCCGAAGAAGCAGCTTTGGCCTACGATGCCGGTAAGTTATCTGTTTGTGCACTGACCGTTATACACACGTTTCTTAGTTCTTGTTTGTTTGATGTTGCTTCCGATCACTGAATTTGATTGTTCAATTGGTCTAGCTGCATACAAGCTTCGGGGAGAATATGCCAGACTCAACTTTCCTCGACAGCAGGATGACAAGGGGGTTGCTGGTGTGGCTCAAACAACAGTAGGTGTGCCATCCGCACTATTCAATAGAGGTTTCAGTTCCACCTTAGGTGCGAAGTTGAAGGAGATCGCTTACCAGAAAGCACTTCAGGCGAACGTGGCCGGGGGCGACTCATCTACATGTCACCCTCCCACCCAGCCTGAAGATAAAACTGGTTTGCGTGAACCAACTCAACAGGCAGCCTTTAGTGGGCAAGCTGAGAACCTCTCTGTCCCTAGTGTGAGTGGACTGGAGCACTTCAGTTTTAGAGAAAGTGGCTCCAGCACATCAACAAGTCCATGCCAGAGCCCCCCAGAAGCTTCATCGGGTAGTGAGTCGAGGTATGTAAGCTCTCCGGGCTCCGATGCGACCGGCGAATCATCGGAGGATCTGCTGTCCGGTTTCGATCTCGACGGATTACTTCTCGGCAGTGTTCCCAGCTCGGAAGAACAAGTTGATTGGAGTTGGGACGTCTTTGGCCTCAAGGGTTGCCAATCTAGTGCTGAAGCCAGTGTAGATAGTGCTTCTTCTCCGTCTTCGTCTTCGTCTTCGTCTTCATCATCTTCGCTTGTTCAAGCTAATATTGCGCAGCAGCAGCAGCAACAGAATGGATCAGCTACTCAGTTCGTGACACCTTCCACCATCAACAACATTGCGGTAGAATCGACCCCCAAGAAGCTAACCACCATCACCACCCCGACACTCAGTCCTCGCAGGTTCAACGTATGGAGAAGCTGTGAATGAGAAACTGCGCATCATTGGCCGACAGTTTTGTTACCACTTTTGTGGATACTGGAGCTTGAAGGCTTGTTCATCAGGAGGATGTGACCTTGACGCTGTTTTTTCCAAGTCAAGTCACTCGAAAATAGGAATTAGTTTCAGTTCTGAAGGTCTCTTACTGAAGTCGCGCATTTTAGGTCGGCGATAGTGATCTTTCAGTTTACTGCTCTCATTTCTTCTTTTATTTTGAAATGGAGCAACTTAGGAACAACTCAAGCTCTTCAAGTTGATACAGTAGATTCATAGGTGGTGCAGACTGGTGGCCTGCCTCGGCGCCCTGCTCATTCATATTTATGTACATTTCTGCTATTATTCGCGGAATCTGTTGCTAGTCGACAGGAGTTTCGAGATGACATTGGCAGGAGTTCAACGGACGGATTTCTACATCGGATTGTTAGAGTTACGACGAGATTCTCCCTGGGGTTCTGCTCGACGGAGTGGGTTCTACATCAAATTTTACCTGGCCCATTTTAGAGCGGTCAAGTAATGACTATTCTTTCGAAGTTGCTGCTAGAAGGAGGAGTTTCTGCATCGGCTTCCGCCTGGCATGTTTTAGGCTCTCATGGGGCTGTCAGACGTTCGGCTTGTTATGCTAAACGTTTTCCTTTTTGTTGCTTCTCGACGGAGGCGTCTCCACATCGAGGTCTTAACATCGGCATGTTTTAGTGCTCTTTGGAGCTGTCGACTGTTCGACTCTCCACAAGAACGCATCCGCTGGCATGATACTTAACTTGGGAGTTTCATCATCAGATTCCGCCTGGCAAGTTTTAGGCTCCGTCTGGAGCTGTCGGGTGTGCAATTCCTTTCAAAATTATCCTCTGTTCTGCTCCTCGTTGATTTTTGGGACAGTACGTTTCTGAAGGTTGAAGGCTGGAATGGAGCAACCTAGTGTTGGCGTTGGCGCTCAGCACTTCCGTAATGACGAGCCTCAATGGGATGATTCGTCTGCGATGACTGATAGGTGATTCAGTGCCATACTCGATAGATTTTCAAGCGTTGCGCGTGTTTGTTTGTTTATGACTGGTTTTTGTTCATGCTAGAGTCCATCGATCTTGCTGTTTACGGCTTGGGAGAGGAAGAAGCATCGACCGTTTTGTTTGAATAGTGTCGCTTTGTGAGTTAGAAACTTGAAGCGTCCTTCTGTAAGAAATAATTGCAGGTTCTTGTTGGTTTGCTTCTTTGATTTTCGCAGAATGAGGTTTTATGCACACAAGTTTAGTTATCAGCAATTGTCCGAGGTGCTCGGAAATGATTTACCTCGACATGACTGCAGCATGTAATCTTTTCTTGATATATAAACGAATGTTATCTCAATCTGAGCTCTGTGGAGTATGTCACCGTGCTCATGAACATATTTATTTATTTTTATGCTGTGCCCATTTGCTTTCTCTTAAACAATGCGTAATTCTCCAATATACGGTTAACCTCATCTGTTCAATCTTGAGCTTAACTGCACGAAACCTGAACTATCCACCTGTGCTCAATAACTTTGACAGGATGGGTAATGCTTGGACGAACCTGGGAACAAACTTGGGTACATAGTTTGGGAATGAGTGCTGTGTCACTCCAACACAAATCTTTAAAGAAGATGACAGGAGAATATTAATAACAAGCATGATCACAGTTTGGATCTTTCAGAACATATCCATGATTCGATTTTTAACTTGAGATAGAAGTAATGAACATACATGAAATCTCTGATGCCAATATTGTGTTCTTTCAGATTCCAATGAAGGTTTTATTTTATTTTATTTATTTTTACCTTCTGAAAAGTATTCAAAATATGAACATGTAATTCTTAACTGCTCAAATTACTCATTTAATCCATAATTCTCAAAAACACGAATCGGATTATCTGCAGGTAGAATATTGTACTTGAATTTCGTGTAGACAATGAAGCATGCAAGACGGTTCTAATCTTGAACCACATCGCTCTTAGCTCACGCCATCTCCATTCACATCATGATCTGTACGAAATTCCAGATTCATAACTAATGTTCAAATTTGGGTCCCACCCCTGCCCGCTGCTCTAGTGCTCAGAAAGGGGCAGGACCCTCTGCCCGAACGTCCCCTAACCATGAGGGCCGTTTATCAATAGAGCGCCTCAGTGAGGGGCAATGATGTCCTCTCAAAGCAATGCTTTAGTACACATGTACTACCCAGCAACTCATTCAAAATGACGTAAACAATTTGCAAGCGCAAAATCGTGTTCAACTCCCACTTGGCGAAGGAGATGAAAAAAAAAACGAGTCTCTCTACGTAAAAGCGGCCAATACCCTGAGTCATACGAAACTTAGAGGAAGTTCTGCCTCTGTAGCATAAAATTTGATTGCGTACACAAGTTTGTTGGGCGAGTTTTTATTTTCCCCCTCCGTAGGTTCAGTTTCTGCAAGAGTGCTCCTTCTCCTTGTTCTTAGCTTCCGACACACGTAGACTTTCACCTTCACTGATCGGCGACTTGACCGCTGATTGATTGATTGATAGAGTCCGCCCTGGCAGTACCCCTCCAATCATCCCAGGCAAAGCGGCAGGCAACGAGAGGCTGCCTACTACAGCCTCACCACAAGTAGACCCTATTCCCTGCTACTACCACAGGAAAAATTATAATATCCTATCGCGCCGTGACGGGCCAGCTCGCCTACGCCACCTCTGAGAGGGAATCTGGACCTGGGTCAGTAGGGTCCCGCCCACTTGCCAATACAACCTACTGCACGACTCCCCGCAAGGCAGACTGATTGTCAGGCCACAGAAATAACCTTCATCACAACTCCAGGATAGCATTATTTTGAACGCCCCGCAAGCTTATCCTGCGCTGCACCATCACCGTGAGCCGCGACCAAGTCCAAGCTCTGATCCAAAAGTCTGGAGCGATAAGTTTCCAAGTTCCTTCATTGGATGGTGCTGGTGGTGCTGGTGGTGGCACTGGTAGCGCTGCTTCTGCAGATCTTCCTGCTTCTCCTGCTTCTGCTGGTGCAGTCTCCGATTGATGCCGCGCTCTGGTAATTGGCCGCGGCTGCAGCTGCAAATCGTGGATTTTGTCTTCTCCTACAGGGAAGGGTCATCGTTTCAGTGCCAGCCTCACCCGATGAGGCTCCCCGCTTGCTTGTTTGCTAGCTAGTTACTCACCCTGTTATTTATCCTGTATCCATGTATGCAAGCAAAATCTGATACTAATACTAATACCACCACTACTCCCTACTACAAAACTACTAGTACCAATACGCGTACCACTAGTTGTCGAATACAATATGGCAACAGATACATGAATAGCTCAGTGTGGAATGGACGCGACGATCAGCGACCATGCCGAGACGATGCCAAAAGAGTGTATGTGGGATTCTTTGCCGCTTCCGTTGCTCGCAGAGCCTGTCGGGCCGCAGGATTTTCATCTCTCCGTGTCGATCCTATCTTCATTGTACACCAGCTCCATGCAGATTCTGAAGAACTTGATACTGTTTATGTTTTTAACCACACTGCAAAGGTATGGCTTTGTGGTGTTTTTGAATACAACATTGACAATGTCACTACCTTCTATGAGTCTCTTAAAGACCTGCTGTCTAAGCTTTTGTATTAGTTTTTGTCCTTCTTCTCAATGTGCATTAAAGTACATTTAACTTCTAAATTATTATCATGATATTTACAACCAAATAGAGAAATCTTTTAAGAATCATTAAAAAAATCAAATTTTTTTAAATATATAATTCATATATAAGAAAATTAGAATTTTAAATGTACAAGTTTCAAAGATAAAAAAAAGCTATGTAATTTGAAAAAAGTCAAATGCAACAATAATCTTTAAATTTTCTAAGAGTGATTTACATTTGGAAATTTGAATAGACTATAATATACAAATTATTATTATTTTTTAAAAAAGTTTTTCATTGTAACAACTTTTGTTTAACTAAAAAGATGAAAAAAAAAAAAACAAACCTTTTTCTTTGATATTCTTAAAAAGCTACTTTAAGAAGTTATAAATATAAATATAAATATACATAAACATACATATGACTATTTCTTTGTTTATGTTTAATTCTGGTATTGTTGTAAATTCATAAATTTTTACATAATTCTTTATCAATATATTAAATAAAAATATACATTAAAAATTAATTTAAGGTTATGATGTTTTTTTTCAAATATGTTTTAATTTAAATCTTATATAAAGCTTATAATCTCTAAATACATAAAATAAGATTGTCTAAATATTATTATTTTAATTAATGGATTGTAATAATTTATAATAATAAGTTTCTTGTATTAATCAATATAATTATAGTTTTAATCAAAATTACCTATATAAATTCGTATCCAAAGGAATAATTAAAATTTCTTAAAGTTTTGAGAAATAAATTTTATATTGCAAAAATAAAAATTAGATGTTTAAAATTCAAGATACAAGAATTATATTATAGAATTAAATAAGTAAATTTATTTGAGTAAAATTTTGATATTACTACACATAATTTTACTTTATTATAGGATTTAAATATTTTAAATATATATAATTAATATATTTATATTTAAATTTAAATATTAATATAAAATTTAAAAATTATAATAATGAGATTCAACCACAAATTCTTCAAAATAAACTTTTAGACCTTAAGTTGCATAAAATTATTTTATGTATATATCATATATATTTGAGATATTATATTTTTCTACTTATATACATCTATCCAAAAGCTATTATTTTTCTTTATATATCAATCTACTAATAGATTTATTTAAGATTTTTAGTTTACATATATATATATATATATATATATATATATATATATTTTAATTTTTTTATATATAAATATGGTATATCCAATAGAGTGGAAAAAATACAAAAAACTATGTTGTATAATCACACAATACTAAGATATTTCAGAATTTTATTTAAATATTTTATCATATTTGGTATCAAGTATGTTTTTAGTAATCAATAAATTATTCCATCTCTTAAGTAAGAAAGACTTGTATTGGAAGTAATTTGCTAATTTTTGTTTTACGAATTTTCAACAAATTTTTCCATATTTGATAAGAATATGATAAATTATGGTTCTAATATGAAATATTTTTTATATTTTATTTTTAAAGATAATTTAAAAAAAATCTAAATAATCTATAAATAAAATCAACTTAATGAGGATTAGATTTTACATATATACTTAAATCTAAAAAGAGGAGTTTTTACAAAAATAACTTATTGTGAACTAAAGAACTTTTAACAATCTTAATTTTAGGAACTAGATGTTAATTCGTATATTAAAAAAGTGTTTAATTCCAAATATATTGGATTTAATAAAAATACCAAAATTAATAAAGAATAGACTAAAATATTTAGAACTGACACAAAGCACATTAAATATTAACATTAGAACTAAATTTTTATCTCTATATCTTAACTACTATACTTTTGTGCCATATAAGCCAAGCAAACACAACCTATTTAAAAAAACAATGGTAGGACCAAGTGTCTTTTCAATTAAATAAAAAGCCTTAATTAAAGAATTTTATTTCTATTTTGTACCTATAAATTATTAGTAGATTTATTTCTTTGAAATAACTTTTTTTAAAGTTTAGAAGAATAAATCAAGAATACTGCACCAATAATATAAGAATTTGATAAAAGATCAAAAAGCAATTCATTAACTAGTCCATATAAAAAATCAACATCAAAAACTTTGTTTCTTGTTGGTTTTGTTTTTAATACTACTTTGACAATTTTCAAGAATCCTTCAATTTAATTTTTATTATATTTTAAGTCTTTTTAAGTAATATTTTTAAAGAACAAAAAAATTAAATAATAATTTTTTTTTGAATAAATAATTGCATGTTCATAAGATTTTGAATAAATACTAATTTATGTAGATTAAGGATTCTATTATTAAAAAAAATTCTACATATTATAGAAGAAAAAGGAAGGTTTGTGTTAAGAACATGAATTATAAAAAAAACTCTAAAGAAGCAAAATATTTATGTAAAACTTTAAAAAGTAAAAAAATCAAAAATAAGTATAAGATAGAAACCAAAGAATGACTATTGCTAAATATAAAGAAACTAGAGACTCTTAAACAATAATAAAAATATAAGAAAGGTGCTCACAAGAGAAAAAAATGCCCCATTCTTGCCTCTATATATACTATCTATTAAAGAACTATGTGGTAATCTTTACAAGGCCATATTAAATGTGTCTAACTTCAAAGATACATGTCAAATTTTTAAGATAAGTTTTTGACACGTATGCCACATAAACAACTTGTAACACAAGTGCCTAAATATGCAAAATGTAATAAATTTATTGACTAGATTATTAACTTATCAAT